TCAGAAGTGCACATTTTCTGTGGTTGCCCCTACCTTATGGAACACCATTTCCCCCTCCCCCCAATAATCAGGCAGGCCCCCACCCTTTCAGTCTTCTACAAGGCTATTAGGAAGTGCCATTTTATCCAAATGCTGGAGTAAAGTGAGGATATTTTGGGCCAGTTGTTGGAGCATCCCTAGGAGATGATCGAGCTGGTGGGGATTGGTGGTGTTTTTATGATTTTTATAGTTTGGGGTTTTATTGTCATTGTGAGCTGCCCAGAATTGTGTTTTAAGATGGGCAGCCATGTAAATCATAACTCAAAATATACAAAAACTAGGGAAAGAGCAAAGCTGTGAAAGGAGTTATGTATGCTAAAGGCCACCGCAATAAATTTACATGACCCAATGGACATAGTTTAACTAGAACTGCCTGCAGTAATTGCTTCTTTGCATTTTCAAGCTCAAGCTCATGCTTTCGTTATCAAGGATAGTACCTAGCTACCTTGTTTCTCTGTCAGCCTCTTTTTTTAATTTTCTTTGATTTTTCCAGCCATCAGAGTCTTTTTCATTGGTCTTGCCTTTGCATTATCTGTCCAAAATATTAAAGCTTTATTCTTAGGATCTGCAATGAGCAGTCTTGTTTCACTTTCACCTAGTTTTGAGCGATTTGTTATAGGCAAAGGGATTCTCAGTTATCTCTAGCACCACAATTTAGGGGCATCAATTTCAACTTTCATTCAGTTTTTCTGAATATCCAGCTTTCACTGTGATAAATTAGAACTGGGGAAAAAAATAATGATGGCATTACTAGCTGATGTTTCTCCTAACAATTTCAATTTCATTTTCTACTTTTTATAGTTTAGCATTTCTCCTGAAGTAATCTTACAGTATAAGTCTTATAGTAAACAAAAAACAAGAAAACTTTATGGACTTGTTGCCAGCTGTTCAGACTAACACACAGGCAGACACATACCTACTCCCAATTACCTTGGCACACTCTTTTTCCAATTTTCAACTACTGTGTTTCCCGAAAGTAAGCCCTACCCCAAAAGTAAGCCATAGCTTGACTTTTGGGAGTGGGCCTAATATAAGCCCTACCCCCAAAATAAGCCCTAGTTTGGGGGCAAGGCACACACCTAAAAATCAAGCTAAGGTGGAGGTGGAACTGTCCCTCGTGCCCTGCACCCACTTACCTTGCAGCTAGGCCTTTCCTTGCCGGTCCACTTATTCTGTGGCGTCCACAGGCCTAAATTTTGCAGTCAGAGGCCTTTCTGGAAGGCCTCTGCAGCCAAGAACCGAGCTATGGATTGAACCATAGCTCGGTTCTCGGCTGCAGTGGTCTTTTGGAAAAGTCTTTGACTGCAAAATGCAGGCCAGAGCTGCATTCTCAGATGCAGAATAAAGCTGCTTCTTTGGCCGCAAAAGAAGTGGGCTGGATGAGCAGGGATGTTGGTCCTGGAGGTGAGTGGAACACACACACACACACAAAACACACACACACACACACACAAATAAGACTTGGTGCTTTTTTGGGAGACAAAAAATAATAAGACTAGGTCTTATTTTGGGGGAAACACAGTAGTTACGGTAATTGCTCCAAATTCTATTCTAACTGTTGCATTCTCAACTCCATATAAATTCAGAATATCCAGTATACCTGGATATTCAGGCAATCCATTGTACCTATATTTTTAAGGATGGTTTATTGTTTCCTACATAGTTAAAAGCCTTAGTATATTTAATAAAGTAAAAATAGAAATCTTTTTTGAACTCGTTGGTCTTTTCTACAAACGATCAGATTTTAGCAATTTGATCTTGGGTTCCTTTATCTCTTCTGAATCTTGTTTTTATAATAGGAAATTGTCATTGCTTGTATTGTTGAAGACACAATTTCAGAATCTTGAGCATTTAGTTAATGTACCGTGTTTTGATTTAAAAAAAAAAACTTTGTATTCAATTTAGCAAATGACATTCTGACAATACTAAAATATTACACTCCAGAAATTAAAAGCATCCAGCTACACAGAAAAGTTAGTATTATTTGGATTGGAACATTGAAGGATTACTAGGACTGTACACACTTTTATGTGTAATGTTATTTCTCCTTGAGCATGTTTGCATAATTAATAATTCATTATTAACAAATTAAAGCAGTCTACATCTGCTATAAAAATAGGAGTGAAAGATATTTCTATGTGTTGGATGGGGGGAGGGGGGAAGCTAGAAAGCAACCAGTTATACACCCAAAGAATTTTGTTGAAAAGTTTCAATTACACATGAGAATTATAGGACCAAAGGTTTTAAGATACACTGTAACCAAGAACATTTATTAGTACTTTCACATATAATAATTGCACAAGGTCATAAAAAGCTAATTGCATATACAGTGGAGTTACTACAATCAAAATAGTGAAGCTATAGATTGTTTGGAGCAGTCAAAACCAATTTAAGAAGAAACCAGTCGAATAAATATATTGTCATTTGATGGTTATGATGACAATGTTATATATTATGTGTTACAACCTGTTTGCTAATTAAAATCCTCATATATGTTGGCAGCTATGTAATCAACATAGAAACTTCATTACAGTTCTATTCTAAAAACATTACTGAGATTCTGAATATTCTAGCACATTATCCCTCTAGTTACAATCAACCTGGGTAAAACATAATGAAATAAATGCATGTAGTCAATTGAGGTAAACTGATCTAGCTACGTGTACAATGGGTCAATTGTTTTTATGATTTGTTCATTTTTTGCACTGATATAATTTTTCATGATACAAAAATATAGTTTTAAATTTGCATCTAAATATATTCAGTTGCTCAAATAAAAACTGTATTAACAGTAATTTGTAAAAGAGTCTGAGTTACTGCAAAGTAATTGCATTGTTTCTTAGTTGTACAGCTATTGACATATGAACCATTCATGGATTAATCTTGCAATGGTCAGACAATAACACTTTACTATTAAAATAAAGGTACATAAGGAAGGAATGTATCAAAGGTACTTCTATTAATTTTTACTAATAAGAATAACTCCATTGCTGAATTTAAAATTCTAGCTTATTAAAATGCCATGTCCTAAAAGATTTAATTAATTAAACATTTTTATTAAATTCTCTCTCTCTCTCCCTCCATATATATATATTAGCTTTTTCTCTCTTTTTTTCACCTATGAGTTCTTTCTATGCTGTTCGATATTCACAGAAGTCTATGTCCTACAAAAGAATTAGAAATAGGCAGAACAAATAATACTATTTTATTTACTTTTCTATTTTGCTATTCTATGACATTCTTTCATTTTTTCCTAGAGCTATTTTGTATATATTGAGATCATAACTATATTGGGTAAGGAATACATCATTAATAGTTTATTCCTCTTTAAAGTGGAAATTCTAGATGAAAAACATGAATGATAATGCAAGAACACATGAACAATATACACACATAAATCATAATCATATCCAGACTTCTGGATAAAATTAATATATTTCCTAATAAACATGTAGAGGATTGCAGTCCTAGTAAATCTGAAAAGTTTCAAGTATAAGATGTCTTTCTCTGCCACGGCCTAAAGAGTAGAATTCTTAATATCTCTTCAACTAATAACAGTATTTGTTCATTATATATTAAAAATAGTAACAACAATAATAAAATACTTGGTGTCTTTTATTCCTGTTCTGAGCACTATATAGGTAAGTGGTAGATTAGATACCAAGTTTTAGTTTGGTATTCATTCAGTCATCTAATATGGTTATTATGATGTATTCTGCGATCTAAAGATACATTTAAAAATGACACAGTGACACAAGTTTTAACCAACATGATTAAAGCAGAAATTAAAAATATATTTAAGGCTGTAGAAAATTAGCTTTACTCTATGTTCTGAACATGAATGAAGCAGTAGCAGCTGGATGAGAGATTCTGGATACTTACTATCTCCCCAAGAGTTATCAAAAGATCAGTAAAGTTCCTCTTCAATAAGGCATTCAAATTACACAGAATATCAATTTCCATCACTGACAATTAAATTCAAATAAGATTATTTCGATCACCCTCAAAGATTCAAATCTGGCATGCAACAATAAAAAAATTAAAACTCTTTCATATTCTATCCAATCTAATTTCCAAGTTCAGCTCCATAATAACTAATCAATATCATTCAAAAGGAAAAATGAAAACCAACAAATATAAAGAGAACAATCATACCTTGCAAGCTATTCCTTCACTACTGAACAACTAATTCTTGCCTCCAGTACTGAACTGGAGAAATATACTCATAATTATACAGATAGTCCTCAACATATGACAATTGAGCCCAAAATTTATGTTAAGTGAGAAATAAGTGAGTTTTGCCCCATTTTATGCCTTTTCTCACCACATTTGTTAAGTGAATCACCGCAGTTCTTAAATTAGTAACACGGCTGTTAAGTGTATCTGGTTGACTTAGTTTGTTAGAAAGTCACAAAAGGGGATCACATGACTCTGGGACATTGCAACCATCATAAATGTGAGTCAGTTATCAAACATCCAAATGTAAATCATGTGACTATGGGGATGCTACAATGGTCATAAGTGTGAAAAATGGTCACAAATCACTTTTTTCAGTGCCGCTGTTACTTCGAACGGTCACTAAATGAACTGTTGTAAGTCGAGGACTACCTGTAATAAAAAAAGTGACTGTGTCTTACATATCAACGACTGTACATTGCCTTCTGAGATACAGCTATCACACGACTACGGCTGGAAGTATTTTTCCACTGATACATGCAGAAGCAAAACTATAATATTCATCAATACAAGTTGAAAGGTATCATGCTGTGTGAACCATGGATGGAGGAAAAGAGATGCATTCATAGTATATTGAAGTATTTCAGGTTAAAACAAATTGAGCTTATGAGTATACTACATATGAATGTAGATACTGGAAAAGGATAAAAGCGCTAATATAAGCTTTTCTCCTGAAACCATGTGAAAGTTATGACAATTATTGTAACAAAGAATCTTTGACCTACCTTGCAGAAGAGCTCCATTTCTCTTGATAAAGGTGCTTCCTGGCCAAATGGGTGGACTGGATGTGCTAAAGTTTAAAAAGGGGAAACATTTATATTTGGTGATTTGCAAATTGTCTAATCATACATTTTATGCATTTTTTTAACTTTGGATAGCAGTTTTAAGAAAATAACATTTACCTTTTGAATAGCAGAATTATCTCTTTATAAAAAATATTTATCAATCATATTCAATTTGCAAAAGAAAAAAGAACCTACACACATTTAAGAAAGGGAAACTAGAAACAAAATGTTTAACTTATGTATTATTTCTTTAAAAACCATCAATAGTAAAGCATGCATTAAATTTAATTTTAAAACACTATTTTACATTCTCATATGCTTTGAGACAATTTTAAAAAGAACTATATAAGCTTGGATGTGGCCCTGAGCTAGATACTATTTTATTTTAGTCTAGGAAACTTCTACTCTTAAAAACAGCAGATAAGCTGTTCTAACCTTCATGAAATTTAAACACATGTAGAATATTAATACATTATTAAATGCAAGTGTCCAGTACAAGTAAACTATAAATAAGCTAATCATTTCTGTGTGTATTGTCAAATCATATATATAAATCATATAAAGACTTATGCGTAGCAGAACAAGAAACGTCTTTGATAGATACAGTATATGATATCAGAAACCAGAATAAGAACATTTGGGGAAAGAAGTATATTTTTACCATAAATTTAGATTTTGGAATATTCTTGGTCTGAAAATTATAGATAGATAGAATAAAGCCACAATAAAAAATAAATAAAATTGCATAGGTGTTAAATCACATATAACTTAGGAACTTGCCTATTTCCACAGTAAAATCTGCATTAGGGCCTCCAAATCAAATTAAGGCAACAATTTGCTCACAATCTGATTTGGAATGAGCACAAAGAGCACTCAGGGGGAAAAATAATAGGCTTTTAAACTGTATTATAGGTCCCATCTATGTGGCACCCTACAGTTATTTTATCACACAATGCTGCTGTATTTGCAAAAACACAGTAGCCAGGAAACAACTACTTACACCAAAGTTTTGCAACTGAGTTTCAGATTTTCAAAAGACTATATGTATGAAGTCAAACAATGAAATATGTATGTTTTAATAAATACATGGAATTACCACCAGCTATTTTCATAGCTTGACTGATTTGAAGATATTTAAGCTTTAAACAAATAAGATGTACCACATTTTTGCTCTGCTGTACTAGAATGAATTAACAGAAGCTATCATACAAGCATCATTGTCTTACAGAAAAACTGATTTGCCAACTTCACTAGTTGGCAACTTTAGACTAGTAATGAACATTATTACTAGTACAGTACAAAGCAGTATTTCCTAAAAATGATCTGTGCAAGATTAATCCTGATTAGCTGTGATTTTTCAGAGTCTCAGGCAGATATGCATCAGACCTCATAAAGAACAGTACCCCAAACATGTTATGAAATTACAGACAATAGAAACAAGCTCTCAATTACTTCAACAATGTTCAAATATTTGAATCCTAATATTTATATTTAAAGTGCAAAGCAAAAAAAATATGGCAAGCCTCCTTCTTCTAGTTCCACAAATATTTATCACAACATATAAGTAACACTTATTAAATTATCTGAACTTTTGTTTTTAACATTTTTAAATTTCTTCAAATGATAAGTTTTGAGGAAACAATATCTGAGTTCAAAATATGTATACAAGTAAAATTTAGTATACAGATCATATGAAAATATACTTAATGTTAATATGTGAGCACAATCCATTCTCATGTGCTACTTCCAAACATTACGTTCACTAAAATATATACAAAAATAGGTATTGCTTAACTCTACAGATCCCTTCTCACCAATATTCCTTATACAGGGAGACATCCACTTATGATTGTAATTGAGTCCAAAATTACAGTTATAAGTCATGGACATCATGAGCATTTTTTGCCAGAAACCGGAAGTAAATGACAGCCTCTACTTGATTTGTAAATAATAGTTTTATGATACTGCTGTCATACTATCCAACAGCTTTTTCGGCCAAAGACCCAAACAGTAAAAAACATCTTAAAAGTGTTTATTTCTATCCTTTGTTTCCCTGTTTTATTCCTTGAAAATCTGTCATAGAAACTGGAAGATCTTCTCAAATAACATGAGTGACAGAAAAATCAGAAAGAAAAACTGCCAGCTACACACATATCCTGTTTGTAAAAGTCCTTCCTATGTATTTACATGGCTGTTATTATTTCTGGGAAGAGCATTTACCATATCAAAACCATTCAAATATGGGTGGAACTGATTGTTCATTATCAAGCTGGCAGTTGGCAATCAGAAACTACATAACTACATGTGATATATGCTATTATTCCAGTATTTTATATATATCTATGCATGATTTGGTATGCGTACCAAAAGATAGTCCTCAACACAATGTAATAAAAGTTGCTAATATTTAAGCCAAGAGAAAGCTCTTTAGCAGAATTTTTTAAAAAGTCTAATAGCAAGCCAAACTATATTACAGCATTATAATTTTTAAATTAAAATGGAATATTTATGCATGGCAATCACTTCAGTAATTTTTATTAACAAGATAAAAGAATTTACTATTCCTCCTGACAACTGTTGGCAGTTAATATCACAATTAGGTGTTTCCTAGCAACAGCTAGTAGTATTCTTTACAAGTCAGGGCATAGAAGAAATAGAAAAGTAACTAGACTAATTAAAATTGTATTTTAATATTTTACTGTACTTATACCAGGACATTTAGGTAGGAACAAAATCTATATTTTCAGTGGGATAGATTAAAGGAGATGCTTGATGTCAAAAACATTTAAAAGGCTTAAGCAAATTTAATTTAGAATGTGTTGTTACTATTTTAATAAATCGTAAAAGAAAAACCAGTGTAATTAACAATTTCTTGGTAATCCACAGATACCTCGCACCCTTTTTGGGGGGTGCAGCATAAAGGCACAAGGATGCCAGGCCTTGGGAAGTGCTCCTAAGATCAAGTTAACTTGATGTACCTTTTATTTTACTTTTAGTTTTTTTCTTAAAGCAACTTATCAAAAAAGTTGGCAAATAAGTTAAAAATCACAGTTACTTCTGAGTTGCTAAAACTTCTATAACTGTTTTTTTAGAAATCCAAGTACATAGATTTTTACAATCACACGTATTGCTGCATTTCACTCATCAGGGTAACCCTTATTTATTAGGATATTAATGAACTGTAGAAAATATTATGTTTATATGCTTCTCCCATTCATTCTTCTCTCACAGCTCAGAAACTTTAGTATTGGTTTTAGTTTACTGTAGTTATACAGTATGTACCTGGAAAACTGACTACTTAGGACAGTGTTGGCAAACCTTTTAGAGACCGAGTGCCCAAATTGCAACCCAACTTATGCATCGTCGGGTGCCAGGTGAGTGTGGCCCATTGGGTGGGCGTGGCCCATTGGGTGGGCGTGGCTGCAGTGGTAACAGCAGACTGGGTGGGACTAAAAAGTTCAATCAATCAATTCCAACTTTGCAAGATCTTTTTTTTTCCCTGCGAAAAGTTGAAATTGACTGATTGAACCTTTTTTTTTTTTTGCACATGGAGGCGGAGGCCTAAAGCAAAAAGGTTTTATAAAACCCAGCTGAAGGCCTAGGACTGGGGCAATGGCGCGCGTGCCCACAGAGAGGGTTCTGAGTGCCGCCTCTGGCACCCGTGCCATAGGTTCGCCACCACTGACTTAGGATGATTTTAAAAAGATTGTTTATTTCGGGAGAAAAGATGGCATGGACGGCATTCCATTTTTTCTCCCAAAATGTTGTGAGATACCTTAGAGGGTCACATGCAATTTCAGAAACAAATTACATGCATTATTGGATAGAAGCTATTTGTTAGCTATGTACATGTCCAACGTATCTGGAAGACATAAGACTAGCCAACTATTCTAAAAAAAACAACCAGCTGTAATTTCAAAATACTCTTCAAAAACCAAGTCCATACAGAGCATTTTAATCTAACCTGAATGTCCTAAGGCAGTGATGGCGAACCTTTTAGAGATCGAGTGCCCAAACTACAACTCAAAACCCACTTATGCATCGTTGGGTGCCAGGTGGGTATTGCCAATTGGGTGGGTGTTGCCAATTGGGTGGGTGTAGCCCATTGGGTGGGCATGGTTGCGGTGGTAACAGCAGACTGGGTGGGACTAAAAAGTTCAATCAATTCCAACTTTGCGAGATCTTTTTTTTTCCCGCAAGAAGTTGAAATTGATATTGATTGAACCTTTTTTTTTTTTTTGCACATGGCAGCGTAGGCCTAAAGCGAAAAGGTTTTATAAAATCCAGCTGAAGGCCTAGGACTGGGGCGACGGCGTACGTGCCCACAGAGAGGGCTCTGCGTACCACCTGTGGCAAGCATGCCATAGGTTCGCCACCATGGTCCTAAGGCATGAATGACCAAATCATTCCTTTTCAGCAAGGGATACAGTTAGCAAACTTTTCTAAATTGATGTGGGCTGGCTTATGTGTTAAAACAGTCCTACTTCAGCTTACTACCTATGAATCAAGCAGCAATTCTATATAAACACTGTGTGTAGATAGGCATCGGATATATCAACTGAAGAGAGAGGAGAAGAATGTACTATTTATTTATTTAATGGAAAATTTGCAGAGTTATGTGAATAGTCTTGTGTGCTTTTCACAGAAGAGAATAATATTTCTCTTCAAATACTGTTAGTATTTTTGCAGCAATATTTTAACATACAGGTAGTGCCTGATTTCTTATAATTCAATTCAGCGACCTTTCAAAGTTAACAATGGCACTAAATAAAGGGATTTGTGACTGGTGTCTGATGCAGCGCCCCCATGGTCATGTGACTGCAATCTGGATGCTTGGCAACCCATTTGCATTTATGATGGGTTGCCAAGGGCACTGAGATCATCATTTGTAATCCTCCCTGATGATTACTCAGAAAGTCGATGAGGAAGCCAGGGTAGGAAAGGTCAGAAACAGTGCCGAGAGGACTCCTTCTCATCTATTGCCTTCCATTTGAGGGCTGAAAAT